TATATATATATATATATATATATATTATGACATGAGATATCCAATGGATTTATCATGTTCAATTTCTGCTAGGTTGACATCTACATGTCAAGTCTGCAAATGTTGCTCCTATTAAATGCTAATTAATGCAAATAAGAGAACAACATGTGTTCTTGTTTTTTCTTTCTCATGTTGAAACATAAAAGTAAATTGCGAACCTGCAAAAAGATTAGCTTCATCATGAGATCTCACCAACCTGACAAACTTCTTGCCTTCTTCTTCACCCCTTCACCATTTCTTTTCTGTCTCCTATCAACCACAAGGTCTTCATGGCAGGAACTGCCACCTTCAAGCACAGAAACACAGCTTGGAGCCGTCTCCCTTTTCTCAAATGCCTTTGGTAGGAAATGGAGAAGTAATCATGGCTTGCTGAGCCTCATGTTGATTCCTTTGTAGCTACAGCATCAAGCTTAGCATCTAACAGTACAGTTTGCACAATAAATTGCTGCGTTAGATCATGAGCAGAAGTTTCATGTCATCTTTTTCACCACACTATCCACCTAATCTAGCAATGAGGTTTCAGCTTTCTTCTATTACCTTGTCGCATATGTAAGGAGTGATGAAGGAACCTTCCATCACCTCCTATTTCTCCTCCATCTCATGGCAGCTGAGGGGAATGTTGTCTGGCTCGAAGCCACTGCAACACAGAACAGTACCTCAATTCTTGCCTTGTCGTCATGAATGGATTCGGACAAGGCTTCATTCCCCTCAACTCATGGACCTGTCACTTGGGAGTTACCTGGAAGAGATTGCCATGGATGCTGCCAATGTCCTATATTTCCAATGTCCATGTTCTATACTGCTCTTTTGGTAAGGAGGAGTTTTCTGGTGAGACTGAAGAGTAGAGAGTGATGGGATTCTGATGCCTGCCATCAAAGATGTGATTTTGATCGATTGAAGGAATGCATGCTCAAGAAATCATTATGACACTATTTTTTCTGTTATTATTGCTGGCACCTGAAGAGGTCTCCCAAGATAATGGCAACTGTTACTATCTCAGAAAGCACTTGGATCATGGAAAGAAGAAATGGAGGATAGTTTGACAAAACAGAAGTTTATGTACAGTGAATTCTTAGTAGTGTAAGATCCATTTTGCAAATTAGATGGATCAAAATTGATGATGATTGAAAATTAGTGTTCATTTCTTGAATCAAACTTTATGTTTGGAAAATCTCAACAAAGTTTCATATCTGGTAGAAATTGGGAGGAACAGAGCACTCAGTTGGTGTGTAAGCTAAACAAGAAATGATAGCTGAAGAATGTGAAGCAAGCAGCAAAGATCTGCCTTGGCTCATAGATTCATACATTCATAGATCACAGAGAAATGTTGATGACCCACACAACCTAAACACCATATACATACATCACCAAGTTAATAATAGACCTCTGAGCTCAATATATTTTAAATGCATTGGGAGACCAATCAAAGGAAGTGTGGCAGAAGGAAGAGCTAAGAGAAGACCACAAAGAAATCTTTCTTAGATGAAGAACATGATGCTATCTTCCATATTTCCACTGAACCTTTTGACAGAGCTGTAGGCAAAATCTTTTTAGGACAAGAACTGCTGAGAGGAACTCCTAGAAAAGGACATTTCCAGCTACAGACCCTCTATTAAAGCACCATCATTGAATTGTTTGCAAACACCACCCCTTTTTTTTGTTTATGGTCTTTGCAGAATCTTGCCTAATATAAACTTGGACCAAGCAGAGTTTTAACATAACAGCTACTGGGAACAGAGCTTCCAGCACCATGCAATACTTAGTGTCATAAAATTCTTATCCAATCAGAATATAAATTGCTAAAAGATCGTAAATTACTTTCCTCAGCAGAAAACGAATTGATGAAAGAAAATACATGTTCTGATATAATTTTGATCTAAAACATACATGTTATACTTCATATTTCAAGCTACAGGTGATTAAAAGATTCACTCATCTTCATTTAATCAAGGTCTCTTGTCCAATCGAAGTGTTCCCACTCCCGTGCAAAATTAGCGACTGCCTGATTTTGCTTCTCTATTGGTTCATGCCTTCGGCGTCGGTACATGTCTTCCTCTGGAAGGCGTAGTAAGCCTCTGATGACATTCAAACCAAAGCCACTGTTGAAATTACTGTCTTTGTCGATCACGTGAACGAACCCCTTGTCGAGGCCAAATTCCACATGGAAATAAGAAAAATTTTCAGGAATCACTTGCCGCAGATTCCCACTTGTTGGGATGACCTTCTTCATGTCATGCTGGCCCCACTCTTCCTCAGCTTCTTCAATTGCCTGGAATAGAACAAACTTATTTGTAAGGAACTCATAAACATGGTTACCGAAAGGGAGGTGTTAGAGATATATCTTCAAGGACTTCATAAAGTGCATCTACCAATTCAATTTGTTTGTTGAATATGATGTCTTATATCGAATATGTTTACCTTGATACACTTGTTGCTTATCAGCCTACTAATAGCTGCCAACAGCAAAGAAAAGTTGTAGTCAACCCCTGCTCTTACTCCGCCAGGATCAGTTCCATTATAACCCTTTAGTCATAAAACAGGCCAAGATCGTCTAGCTTCTACTTGGCTTTAATGATGATACTAAAGATTCAAATAAATCTAAAGTTTGTTGTTACAATTAGAATTAGTGTGGTGTACCACAGCAATGTAATGACCACACTGGAGCGATAGCGAGAACTATGTAAAGCACATGTTAAACTAACATCTTTGTGGTCTTCTAGAAAATAAATCACAATGAAACCTACCTATTTACCAGCATCATAGAAATGCACATCAAAAGATATCCAAGCAAATAAGTTCCTTACAATTCAAGGCAAAATCTGTGTCAACTACCATGAAAGTGGCAACACACACCTAATAATATAAGCCTTTCTTGGACCTTCTCCAATCAAATTTAAAGCCACTACTCATTCACTTTTCCTTGGCATCCAGAACAAGAATTTAAAAAGACACAAGAATGCAGAAGTTCACTTGGCATCATCCACGCATAAAAAACTGGTTTCGAAGCATTATCAATATGCACACTTGTTTGATCTAGTGCTTAGCTTTCTGCTGATGACAAAATTAATTAGTACCCTCCAAAGCATAGACACTTCAAAATCATTACTTTCTTCTATAATCACTGCCAGACACCCAATGCTAGTCAAATACTTCCCAGGATTTGTAGACCACAACCAACTACACATACATATCACCAAGTTGACATTATATATATATATATATATATATATATATATATCTAGCTAGTACAATTTTCTAGATTCGAATTAAGAGCAATACAAGGTACTATAAATGATGTTCACCTATGTAAATTTCCCCCCTGGCCAAGTGTATTTGCTACACATGGCGTAGGCTCCATTTTCTTGCTTCCAGCTCTAACCTCATAATTCATCATAACTCAGTTTTCTGTATTAAATTATTTCCTTCACTTGTAACACAAGTATCAACTTACCTCCTTTCTACACATGGTTCTACATCATCCAACTTGTAAATCAAGAAATAAATGTACAATCCTTAAAAATATTTTCCTATAAAACTAGTAGAACAGGACAGATATTACTTTCAAGTGGATCATCAAAGAAACAGCCATGAAGGGCAAGAAATGCCTAGGAATAAAAATCAGAAATGAAATCTAAAACAACAAAGGAAAAATTTGAAAAAGAAAAATTAGTCGATCAAATGCATGAAAGAAGATGGAACAAAAGAACAAGCATTCAATGTACTATGACATTCTAATGGCATCAAACAACAGATGTTGCACATACAAAGTCGTGCAATGCTGTGCCAGATGAAGAATAAGAGAGATAGATTGTAATCACTGTTTGACTTTGCAAAAAGATTAATCAGATCTAGCACTATTGAAGGAAAGGTAGTCAGGAATTCAATAATAAAGAATACTAATTTAACAAGACAGATTTCGACAAAACACCTTCAAATCATAAGTATATACCTTTCTAAAATACATAGGTGCTTGACTGGCGAGCAAATGGGGTATAGGAATGCATTCAAGTAAACAGTGACGACGCTGCTTTGCCAACCCTACAACAGTTTCAAGAAACACGACATCCTTATCATCTCTAGCAAACATCTTCAACAAGCACTTCTTGAAGTTGCGGATCTCCTCCCAAACATTTTTATCAACAGATCTTGTTGCAGCTTCATGCTGTATAGAGTTGAAAAATGTCTCAATATTACAAGTATAACCATCACTGATTCAAATAATAAGAAAAATCATGATAAAGGAATAGGCAATACAGGATTGCTATTACTAAGGAAGCAAGAATCATCAACAACCATATACTTAATCAAGAAAGCACACACTCCAGAAGGCACATGACATGCTAACAACAGCATCCATGTGATCTTGGCAATGACTGTAACTTTCATAAATTATGACATAAAAAACCAAACTTATAAAACAGTAAAAAGGGTAATACCAAATCTCACACCTGCATTGGTAAAATGCAGCAATGGCCTTCAACGACAGGTTGCCACTGAGGCAGCATCAAGTATGTAAAATTTGCAATTGACACAACAAGATGTTTTGGTCTTGATGGATTTTCAAAACAAAATTGACAGCGCTCTTGTTGAGTTAAGAGTCGTCTTGATATACTTCTTTCAGCAGGCATCTCCTCTTTCTTCTTGTTACGTTTTCTGCTAGGAGCAACATCAAAACCATACTCCTCATCTTCACCCAAACTATACTGTTTGTTCTGCGTTATTGTCTTTGCAAGATGCAAATCAGCATCATCTTCTCTCCTCTTATGTTCCCTAGACATCTGCTTCCTGATATATCTACAACAAACCAAATGGAAAAAATATCAATAAGTGACACTTCCCTTCCAAAATGTGTTATATATATATATATATATATATATATATATATATATATATATATATATATATATATATATAAACACACACACACACACAAGAGTAAGAAAATCACCATCTTACAAAATAAACTAATTGGAAACGCTTTGCAATCTCCTAATTTCTAAAGTTTGAATGATCCTGTTATGTGTGAAATATTCTTTTATCTTGGATCTTTAGTTCTTACAAAGTTCAGACATGCTAATAGCAAGAAAGCATGCACAGGTTTTGAGGCATATACCAATAAAAGACAGAAATATAAGTTGACAAAGTAGATAAAGAAAACATCAGATATACCAGGAAAGAAAGCAAGGCCAAAAAAAATCCAAAATAAACTTGTTGCCAAAAACCCATCAGCATAAAATATAAAATGCAAATGCAAGGAGAAATACTTGATTTTTTTTAAGATGGTCAAAATCAAAACCATGCAATTCTGTATCTTGGGCAGACAAGTTGAACATGATAAGCTGAAGAACAAAGAAGAATTAGCCTATTACTTCTTTTACTTTTTCAAGACTAGAGAAGGAAAAAACATAAGGACAAATGTAACAAGCCAATCAATGTAGAAACAGTTAACACTTAGTTATCAAACAGGTATATCATCCTTACCTGCTTGTGCTTCCCTCTGTTTCCACTCTAACTGATTGGGTGCCAGCGTCTGGTTTGTCAACCATGGCCTCCATTTCTTTCTGGTAAATAATAAAGATTCTAGTTAAAGCAGAAAATTGTGTTGCAAGTTCTCTCAATAAATCTAATGAGCTATTGCAAGTGAGATATAAACATTTAGTCCATCTGATTTGTTTTTGTAAACAAAGCAATGTCCACCCAAACAATAGGCTGGCAATAACTACACAAAATAATAGATGCCCCACTGGCCTTATTCACAGTTATAATAGAAGAAAGTGACCAATTGCATTAGAGGCAAGATTTAATAAATTCAAAAGTTTAATATGTGATTATAATTTGGATGAACAATTTGAAGTTGAAGCAGCAGAAAATGACGTTTATATGTGAGATAACTAAAGCTACTTGTTATAAGTTCATATGTGGCCATTAAATAACAATGCCATCTATATCATTGTAGGAACCACATTTAGGCAACAAGTATATGCATCAAGCAGTGTCTCACCGAAAGTTTCTCAGCCTCATCATGCTTTCCTTTCATACGAAGCTGCAACACCTTAGCTGCTAATTGATTTGCACTCTGTACTTGTTTCTGGGCTGAGGCTTCTTCATCAGGACCTCTGTCTCTCGGAGTGTGCAATCTCTTCTCCATGCAATTGCTGCTCGCCTTTGGACTTGCGCCAGAAGAGCTATTTGAAATGCCATCATCTTTACTTTGAAACCGAGCAATATTATCCATAAAGTTCCCATCATTTGCAAATCTATTTAAGCTGGATATTGCTGAAGAAATTAGGGATTTATCCTCCATAGACATGTTACGACCTTTATTCCTTTTCCAGGACAAGTCATCATGTCTAGGTTTTCTCATCTGAGGAATTTGAGAAGAAACATCACGTAAGTAGTCACGGCCTCCACTGCGCACCTCTTGAATGCCTTCTTTAGTTTCATCAGATGGGGCCACTTCAGACAATTCCATTGGCCCCCTCTTTCTGTCATTTATTGCACGCAGATGAGCACGAGCCGGGGCAGCTCTATGAGCTACCACAGTTGCAGTCAACTGGCCCAATGAGCCCCATCGTTCTTCAACAACCTGTATGATGAAATAGAAAGGTATACCGTAAGTTCCAGAGTATACTGTATACATACTGCTTACATCACAAGCATATACCTCATCAAGTTTTCGTCCTTCACGAGCTGCCTGCTCTTTCGCACGCTTCAAGGCTTTCAATCTCCAGCTTGCTCCACCATCACCAACAACTGAAGAAGAGAAAAGTCTGTCACTAGCCTCCGAAATAGATGCATCATCTGGATACCCACTGCCGTTATCTTTCAGATATGGATTCAATTCCTTTGGATTTGTTCTCGTCACCTGTTAGACAAGAATAATTAGAAAAGTCAATCGACTAAAGTTTCATAAACTCATGAAGAGAAGTGATGTTAAATCAATAATCAATAACTGCAAGGCAAGCATAAATGGAAAGAAAGTGAAGAAATTAATCATTCAGAATACCATAATAGCATTTTCAGAAAAAAATTGTGTCAATGAATCCTCAAAGCTAGCATTATATACTCCAAAATTGTTGGTTTGGACTTAAACATCAAAAAAAGCTTTACCCATCTGCTAGTTGTCTAACAAATATACACAAGTAACCATCGATTCTCAAATGGAAAGGAAAAAATATACTTATTTTAATGATACTTCTTCACTAATAGAAAATGCTCCAATTTTCCATTCTCATAAGACACACGGAAGCAAGATATATCCAAACTTAACTTCACAAATTTGAAAACAATCTTCTTAATTTTAATGACCTCATTGCTTCAGTTCATTAAATATAAATATGTAACAGATATGTCTTAACCAATGTAGTTTCTTAATAGCATCTAGATTTGACATATGAGTGTATAGTATACCAACACACAAAGCATTGATACAGAATCTCCATATCTGTGTTTTTATCTATTTCGCTTGTCTAATTTAGTTTCCTACTAGAATCCAGATTTGATATATGTGTTTAATTTAAAAGGATACACTGGATTGCTACAGAATCTCATCTGTTATCTGAGCACTTACGTATTTCACTCATCCAAGGTTTACTGGTACAGCTCTGAGCAACAATCAAGCTCAATAAACCTAAATCCATGGTCTTAATAATTTTTCCGCTCTAAGGGCTTTTAATTGGGTTGAAGTACTCAGATCTGGTCCAATGTAAGAAAGATCTGTTTTAATTTCTTTATCTGAACATCGGGGGGGGGGGGGGGGGGGGGCTAGCTGCTGAATAATACGTTTCAATTAGCTGCTGAATAATTTCTTTCAAAAACTATTTGTAGCCAAGGTCACAATGGACGATATATTTTAGGAGGACTTTCTGTGGGCTCATATTAGCTGCTGAATAATATGTTTCAAGCACCTATATATTGTAGAAGCTCTCATGATCACAAAGTTCAGCTGGACTATGAACTCACACAAAATAGAAGCAAGACAGTAAGCCTTCAGATTGTTTCCTTTACTTGATGCTAAATAGATTAAGAGTCTTAGTTTACTTAAGTTATTTAGGCATCTTTCTCAACTTGAAAACAATATTTTCCTGGAACAGACTGGAATTGCTAGTCAGTGGCTCCCAATCATTTTTCTGGCCAATTCTGGTCCATAAAACCTAGTTTTATCTTCAATTCATTAAATCCCTCCCATTATGCTGAAAACACAAAACAACAACTAAAACCTATGGATTTGGTTAATATATGAGATGACTGTTATAATAGTTAGTTAATGCTATCAAAGAGTGCTATGGTTGCTGATTGCAGCATGAAGCATCTATATTTTGTTGATTTATTCAAAAGTTCTGGAGAGCGCTTAGCCACAACAGATATCTAAACAAATATTCAGGAAGTTATGAAACACCAAACTGAACATCAAGCAAGTATTGTATGCACTGTTTTTCAAATTGTACAACAGTGAATGAACAATTACAAAGTATTCCTGAGAGGAACTGAAAGTACCTCAACAGTTTTATGTTCCTCGGTTTCTTCCTCCACTTCTGCACGACTATTCTCTGTCATCCTGCCCGCCGGTCTCAGCATCCAGTCTAATCCCAACTCCTTCCTCGCAAGCTCTTTGTCATTCTGGTGAAGTAAGTCTCTACCATCATCATCACTATCCTCTACTGACAAAAAAGGATTTCGTAACAATAACTACAATATCCAATTATAATCCTTACTCTACTTATTACAAACATAGTCATAGCAGAAACCAAAAAAATTTACTAGAATGCAGATCTTTCGCATCTCGTCTTTCCCTAATATTTTTGAGTAGTTGATGCTTCATTTTACCTTTCTTCTCTGCATACTCATCGGACGATGAAGAATAGTCATCCTCTGACAATTCCTGTCTTCTTCTTCTCCTCTTCCTCCGACTTTTACTTCGTTTGACCTCCTTGACGTCCAAAGATTCGCTATCTGAAGTTCTTAGAGTACTATCATCACCTTCATCGTCATCATCATCATCATAGGAGCTATGGTGCTTCTTACTCCTTTTATTCTTCTTGTTCTTGTTCTTCACTCGTTTCCCTCTTGTAGAGATCATTTTGTGAACATCATCTTCCGAAGAGGCATCACCACCGTCTCGTTTACTTCTCTTCTTCGTCTTAGACTTCTTGATGGTGCTAGAATACTTCTTCTCTTCCCCTCCAGATCCATCCGAGTCCGAATGGGGTTTCTTCTATCAACAGATCGAAACTTCAAGCAATAAATCAAATGGACAAGAGAAGAACAGGTGAAAAATAAGAAAGGTAAGAGGGTTACTGCTGATGATGAAAGGAGCTGATCCCTGGGTACAAATTTGACGCCAGAAAACATCGTTTCGTGCAGCTGCAAACAATTAGATGACCATTAAAAATAGTTAGGCCAAAGTTACGATTTTCATCAACTAAAACAATGAGATCTGAGAGAGAGAGAGAGAGAGGTGCATATAAATGCTGTGCTCTCCAGCTTGGGAGCCTATGGGGGTGCAGCGACCAGCGCGGAAAAAGGAGGACCGGTGTCGGGCTCTCCGGAATTGGACAATAGCAACGTTAAAGACGAGCGACGAGGAAGATGGTGATTAGGGCAACGCCGTTCCGATACGAGAAGGGAGAGAGACAACAAGAGGGAAGGAGAGGGGGAAGAAGCACGGCGGAGGAGGAGGAGGAGGGAGAGAAAGAGGAAGAGCAATAGCAAACGGGAAAGAGAGGCGGGAGGCGCACCGCCGAGAGAGAGAGAGAGAGGACGGGTACCGCTGAGGACCGCCTTCTACACGGACGTGTGGAGGAGCGACGGAAATATCGCTGAAGAGGAGGCGTCTACGAGCTATGGCCGCAGATGAAGAGGAGCCGGGGACGCGTCACTGAAGAAGAAGCGACGACGGCGACGAGAGCGGAGCCATCGCGAATGGGGTTCTCTCGGCAGCCGGCTCGTGGCGCGGGGTTGGGTGGGGTGTGGGACGTGGCTTGGCGGAACCCATTGTTATATTTGGGTTCAACTCAAGCCGAGTCAATTTCAATTAGGCCTTAAATTGGGCCAGGTGAGCGCCTGGGCCGACCAGAGCCTGATTTGTCTCACTCGTCATCCGTATGGCATTTACTTGGCCGGAGAAATGTCTTGCCGGACCATTACTGGTTTGAGTCGAGTCTTATGAGGAAGAGAGATGTTGATCTGCTGCCGGGACTGCACTCACCGTACTGCAATTCATGTTCTTGAGGGAAGGAATGGAAGGGGAAGAGGAAGGGGGGAAGTGTGGATTGTTATCAGCACATGCCACAGCACACACAGGCCACGGAGGGGGACCAAGACAAGGTTACAGATCAACTTAATGGCGTCATTATTCTTCGCCAGGTCTTCACACGCCAAGTTGCTCGAGGGAGATGATCAGGAAAAAAGGCAGGTTTTTGGTGATTTATGTGGCTTGGGCTCTGGAATGGTCGCGTCTTAGGAAGGAGAAAAAGAAGAGATCAGAGTGAAATGGTGGAAAAGATGGTGTTTTGAGAGATTTAAGAGGAGGTTTAGGTCTACCAACAGGTTGTCAGGAGATAGAACGCCTTAACGATTGTCATCACCGACTCCCAAGAAGGATACAGAGAAGAAGTGGAAGGGAAGAGAGAGAAAGAATTGTCATCTATCATGGCTGCCTTTTAGAAGGCCGTGACTGCAGAGACAGAAGTACAATCACGTGAACGATGGAATTTTGGGAGTCGGATGATGGGAATTTGATATGAGAGCGAGAGAGAGAGAGAGAGAGAGAGAGAGAGAGAGAGAGGGAGGGAGGAGAAAGGGTTTAAAAACTGGATGTCGATCTCGATAGTAGCAATGGAAGGAGGTGAGAGAGTATTAAATACGCATATAAAACAGGGAGGAAGGCAAAGAGGGGAACTTTGTGCATTTTGAATTGAGACCTTGGGATCGATTTGTTCCCGAATCGGCTGCTTTCCTGCTCCCCACGAGGCGCAGGCGGTAGCAGCAGCAGCAGCTGCCCTCCCCCCAACTCTTATCCCTCAGGTATAGGATTTGGCTTTTCTTGTGTCCCCTTTTTTTTTTCTCTCTCTCTCTCTCTATCCAAATCATTCTTCTTCCATCAAATACATATGTAACTCTCTGTGTAGTCAGTGTCATCACGCTTGGTTCTTCGTATCAACATCCAGTAGAACCATATTAGTTCTTCCCCATCCTGCCTGTCTCCCTCTGGCTCTCCATCTAATTTTTAGTCTGATAATTTTGGATGTGGGTTCGAGATGTTATACTGCCCGATTCTTTTAAGTTGATTCTGTTGTTCTTGGGTACCATGTTGCTTCTTCTTGGATCGATGGGTCTTGTCACGCTCTTGTCGCCCCCTTTTCCAAGATTTGATCTTTGGCTTCAAGAATTATGCAATTTGAGATTTCTAGTTGGTTGGCTCGATTGTGGAGTTCGGAGTTTCGGGTGGTGTGTTTTGGATTATAAGGGTGTATCTGGGGTTCTATGTTGTTCTTGGGATATCTGGACCAAACTCCATTTTGGGTTCTTTCTTTCTGTGTCTGCTGGTAGAAATTAATTATGCTTGTTATTCAAAGAGGTAGGAAACTAAAGCTGGCTTCATATAATATAAGTTTGTTAGTTGCTTGAGCTTTGGATATTAGGCACGCATGTAGCATTAAAAAGAAAAAGAGAAGAAAAACACACAGTTCGGTTGATTGTTTGTCCTGATTGATTGATGAATTGTGTAATCCATGATCTGTGAACTAGAAGATAGCCTAGGCTACATTTGTTTATCCTTTCTATTTGTCCATTTTTGTCTCCATTCCTTCTATAGCTTGTTTAATTTGGATGCTTCAATCCAGATTTTATGCAAATGAATCCTCACTGTACATTAGTTTCAATTTCATGGGTTGTATAGGTTAAGGAAGTATTAATGTGTATGGACTTAACTGGTTTTGTCTAAGTCGTGCGATACCTTTGTGTGTCTATCCACAAATGTCAACCTCCTCAAAACCTTTTATGGCCCCTTAAGGACCTATAAAAGAGAAGACGGGTTAAAGAAAGCGTTTAACTTGAGATCCACAAGAAGTCATTTTAGCAAACACTTGGTAGACAATGCAAATTATAAACGTAGACTTCACGAGCTCTGAATGGTTATGCAACAAAGAGTCCAAGATAGTCAACCACGGTCAAAAGTGCCCACGTGACATTGCTACGGAATAAGACAGCGAACCAGCTTTAGACATTATCCGAAAGGCTCATCCAACCATATGTCACCTGGATAACTCCTGGGTGTTGTGCCGGCTGAAACGGCACCACTCTGTGAAGCTAAGAAACTCCCAAAATGGTTTCTTAGATGATCTTTGTCTTTATGCGATGACTACACACAATATGCGCTTGTAGGCTTGAACGGCCACAAAAACCAACCAAAATAGGATTGTCAAGCTTACTGCAAGCCCTCTACATGTGAAAAGCATAAACAAAACTGAAAGACACAGACATACATGATCAGTACATTTAGAAATATCTTTGCTTAGACTTTTGTTGCACCTTAGTTGTTTGGTTTTATTGGTGTTAAGACGTATTTCAATTCAGAATGCCACCATCTTATCATATTTGTTTTATCGCTGCTCTGCTATAGCTGTTTCTGGTCATTTGTTATTCATTAACTATACTTTGTGTTTGCATCTGAATGATATTAAGTTTTTCTGATTTATAAGTTAATCTTGACCTGTATTCCTGACTATTGCAGAATTATTCATTTCCTCATAAGGGACTTGAGCTTTCTGTGTCTGAGTTCATCCATATGGAAATAAGTCAGTTATTATATTATAGCCAAAATATCGCAATGATCCATCATCCTGCCATGTCTGCAGATCTTGCCATGTTTAAAACCAAGCAAGAGAAAATTGTCTACATTCTTTTTTATGTCTAACAACCAAAGTGAAACCTCTCTAAATCTTTCTCCGAGGAATCCAGCGCATGCTTTACATTCTGAATCACCAGTTCCTGGAAACATGATGTACCTTAGCTTTTCAAATTCTGGCTCGTATGCTGATGCATTAGCTGGTAGCACTCAAACTCAGCAGAATCGCAATGAGCTTCCTGTCACCACTACCATCATTTCACAAGGCATGGCTGTTGGGAATTCCAATGAGGTAACTTCACTTCATGGAGACCATGCTTATAATACTTGGAAAGATGGAAGAAATGAGATGTTATTTATGCATTCGGTGGAAGGTTCCATAAATGGTGCAGATGTTCTAATTCATCCTGATGATCATCAGGTGAGTCTGCAGACACAGCTCGGCATCATAAATGGGCAAAGCTCGTCTTTGCAGCATTCAAATGTTTCAACCATGCAAAATCAAGCGTTATCACTTAGCCTTAGCACACAAATGCCAGTTCCTTCAATTCAGTACCATCCTACAAGCTTAGATATCTCTTTCATTGATTCACATCAGTTAACATCTGGAACTGTTGGGCCACTAAGGGAAGAAAGCTTTCAAAACAAAAGCATGCATGGCAACGTCTCCCCTAATGAACTTTCAAGTCTTACAAGCTTGATTCCAAATTCTAAATATCTCAGGCCAGCACAAGAATTACTTGATGAAGTTGTCAATGTCCGGAAGGCTTTGAGGCCAAAAACAGATAGAAGCCAAAGTCTCTATGCTTCTGCTGGTGCCATGACAAATAAGGATGCTAACACGGGATCAAAAAGTGAAGTGATGGCTTCAAACCCTCAAGAGGCTGCTGCTAATTGTTCAAGTGGGCTCTCAGCTTCTGAAAAGGAGGATCTTCAAAACAAGGTCTCAAATCTTCTGCAAATGTTGGATGAGGTATATAACTTTGCCTTCCCTTTTCTTTTTTCTTAATGATATCATTTTTATTATGAGACTTTTAATTTCATTTTAGGATAACTAAAAAAATAAATGTTGGTTGGCATGACTCGATTTGATGTGTTTCCAATCACCAATACATTGTAAAAGATTGCCAAAATTTACAATAAATGTTATTGAAATAAGAGAATGATATTTATAATACCTATCAAGCTCTAATTAGTTTAAATCTATTAGTTTGAAGGTCTTGCTTCTTATTGTCCACTTTTGGTTCGCTTTTGTTCAAGCAAACTACAAATGGTGTAATGTTTCTTCATAAAGCCACGAAAGTGCAAGCATGCTTGTGGATCCCAAAATAAAATAAATAAATAAATAATGTTTAGTTTTTATGGTCTGAGGTGTTTTTGTTTGTCTAACCAGTAGCTGGTGGAAATTCTTGGACCTGAATGTTTCTAAAGCATCTGCCATGACAGGATTCTGGTCCTGTTCTTATGTGGTTAATCTCCTATTTCTTGCTATGCATTTATACATGATTGTGGATGTAAAGGAATGCCTTATTGATTTGCAGCAAGTTTTCTTAGTTGTATCTACCGTTAGTAGATTATCTTTGAATAAATGGGAAGACATAAGTACAAATAAATGGTTATATGTTTTCAGTCAAAAGGAAAAAACACTGATTAAGTTATTAGATTTTAGAAGCATGTTATATGAACAGACTTTCAGAAATAACATCTCTGTCCAGAGTGCAGTTTGAGAATTTGCAGAAGAAGTAGCTTCCTTTGCTACTTGATTGGTTATAACATATGCTTCCTAGCAATATTTGTTCTTGACCACAATATGTTTAGAAACTTGCAAATATCTTTCTTTTATTTCAAGAACGAACTTGCAGATAACTGACAAACTTTACCATGATTTGAAAAAGCTTCTGCTATTACCTTCTTACCTTAAAGTAGACAACAGATTTTTACCTGAGCCGTGAGGTAGTGTTGCAAGTGACATTGTTTGCAAACCTAAATTTGTACTCCTTGTAATTATAAACTTTCAATTTTGTATATTTTTGAATATTAAGAAGGATCTTGAAAATAACTGGCACAAATTTTACCATGAGAACTACAATCTATACAACACTATGGAAGGGACTACTATGATCATATTATTTTTTCTCCATATCTGAAATATTATACGCCTAAGATGTGCCTAAACAAAATTTTCTAAAGAGGCTTAGTTCTGGTGAGTGGAATAATGCCAATAATCACTTTTATGCAGTCGACTCTATCAATGTGATGCTCTTGTGATTTTGTAATGTGACCTGAGAACAGATTCATTGTCTTTCATCTTCAGTTAACCTTTTAATTTTAGGTTGATAAAAGGTATGCACAGTATTACCATCAGATGCAGATAATAGTGTCATGGTTTGATGCAATAGCTGGTTGTGGGGCTGCTAAACCATACACTGTACTTGCTCTTCAAACCATTTCACGGCATTTCCGCTGCGTGAGAGATGCCATCAGTGGCCAAATTCAAGCTACCAGGAAAAGTCTTGGTGAACCGGAGGATTTAAGTGGTAGCAGTAGTGGGTTATCTCGCCTTAGATACATAGATCAGCAGTTACGGCAACAGAGAACCTTGCATCAATATGGTCTGATGCAACAGCATTCTTGGAGGCCACAGAGGGGTTTGCCTGAGTCATCTGTCTCTATTCTCCGCGCGTGGCTGTTTGAGCACTTCCTTCATCCGTAAGCTCCAACAACATTTCTTTTCCACCTGGTTCTTTTGAGTACAATGATTCTTCACTCTTAACACAATGCCATGATACATTTTTGCCAGTTACCCAAAGGATTCTGAGAAGCTGGTACTTGCAAGACAGACAGGCTTGACGAGAAGTCAGGTAAACTTCTTATTCTTGATTGACTTTGGATCTGTTGTGAGGCATGGTTTTGTTTGGATTTTGCTCTCTTTTGATGCTATTGATATCAGAAGCATATATTGCTTAACCGGAAAGGCAGAACTACTGTCTTTTTTCACCTGAAATATCTTTGTTGCGACTCCGTTTACTGTCTTTTTCTCTCTTTCACGTTTTATATCATCTCATGTCCACATTTTTACCTCTTGATCCTTTTACGGCAAAGGATTTGTTTCTACATGCTTCCTGATGAACAACCATCTTTCTGCTTGAGGATTGATAGTGAAATGGTAATTTATCCTATTCTTTGTCATTCGATGTTGATGATTAGTAAATGTATGGACATAAAAAAAAAAGGTTGTTCCTGATTCAAGTTGGACCTCCCAATGAATTAATTCCTAGCTCATGTCAATCTGCAACTGAGAAACTGAGCAATCTGTTGCATATATTTTAAGATTATCCTTCACATTTCCTCATCTGGACTCTCACTTTCATTCAGGTTTCAAACTGGTTCATAAATGCACGAGTTCGTCTTTGGAAGCCTATGATCGAAAACATGTACAAAGAAGAGTTTGGAGATACCGAGATTGACTCAAACTCTTCCTTATCAAATCCACCCAAACTGAATGAAGACATCCAACCCTCTGAGGACCATGAAGACTAGCAGAACCCCGCAACTGGAAGATGCGAAACGATCCTGATAAGTGACTCCTGAAGACCCAAAACCATCCCAACCATGAATGTGGCCACATCAGCTGCTGCTTTCCGAGATGGAACAACTACACAAGATTCATATCCATCGATTGGACAAGATTCCAGCTTGGTTTTTGGTGTATCAGATGGCTGAGTTAGGTCAAAACAGTGAGGGGTCTCTCACACTCGGGCTGCAGCACTGTGATGTTGGCTTTCCTGAATCAGACAATCAACAGAGCCTTCTCGCGGTGCAAGCTGCAAAAGATGCAATCGAATATGAGCACCAATTTGGATCATCAGGTGTTGCATGATTTTGTTGCTTGAATTCATCTGCTTCAGCTATTGTTGCCATCAGACTTCTCTGAACCAGAATAATTTGTTGCAAGATGCCTTCTAGGCATTGCTTGCAATCTTACAAGAGAAAGTGAGTTTAGCATGGTAATGGAGCACAGGAGGTGTTGGAATTATGGAGTAGCATGTTGTAAACATAGAATCATTTTAGAATAACCTACAGCAAAAAAAAAAAAACAATTGATTTAGGTCAATGTGGTGTATATTGATTGACTGGCTTCAAAGGCCTTACATCTGATCACATGATTGTAAGAAAGTTCCATTGTAATAACAACTGGAAGAATTTGTGTGATCCTTCATTGCAATGATGTCTCCTGACTCATACCACTTCACCCGCTTTCAATCAGGTTGCAGCATGTCATGTTATTTGGTAGCACTGTATATTGTAATGAATATTTCATGGCACACAACATTTCAGCTTTTCATTGAATACTAGCACTCAACCAACATGAGATCCAAACAACAAAAAGGCACTAAAGTGCAGGAAGATCACTGAACAGAGGTTTCTGAACCTCTCAATTCCAAATGTGAATCACAATTTGCAATGAATTAAGCAGGATTTGGATTATAAACATAATAGATACAACCTTTTTAGGATAATATACCAGGGTTTAGTTATTGCATCCAAGAAGTACAAAACAAGCATTTTGAATCTACAAAAGGCTGCATTGGAAATACTTGCTAAGGGAATCCTCTTCCTTACAGAATCGGTAAACCACTTTGTAGACTTCAATTAGGAGCTTTGGGAATCGACTTGCAAAGTACATATCAAATCCTTGAGGAACAGGTCCAAGAGTTTCCTGCAGCCGTTGGAAATACTTCAGCATAAAGAACAAATACCCTTGCAAGTACTGCTCAATTCACAAAGCACACAACACATGAAACACCCTCAACTAGTTAATCGGCATTAACAAGTGGATCAGTATGACACAAGCATTAAATTTAGTATACGAAGTAAAGAAAATAATGGGATGATGAACAATATTTTATTTGAGATCCAAGCAAAAAAAAAAGAGGTAAAAGTAAACAAACCCAACAAGTATATCCAATTCAAGTTCTTTTTCATACAGTTGAAGCTGAAGTGAAAAATGCTCCTTTGGAAAAAAATGATGATGATCAGACAAAATGGAAAAGTATTGGAAACCAAATAATATGTTCAGCATACGTATTTCGGTACCTAAACTCCCGCCACATTCTGAAGCAGGAAGCACACTTTCTAATTGATTGGTTCAACAAAGTAATAATATAACTACAAATATCTACAACAAAGAAATTACCTGAACCAAGTTACACACAGAGCTAATTGATCTCAAGAATGTAAGATGAATATACTCAAATAAAAGGATGGAAGAGGCTACCTGGAGTTCTTTTGGAAGTTCCCGGTAATGATTAAACTTATTTCTTATTACTCGTAGAAGGTCACGTATGGAATCAAAACGATATTTTCTGTACCGACCCATGTCTGTAATGAATGCAACATCTAACTTATCATCCCATTTCCCACCAAATGCATTTGGCGCAGTATTTTCTAATGATTTTAGCAGCTCCGATTCATTTTCTCTGTCTTCTAATTCAACTCGATCGCTTACATCTCGTAAAAATGAAAGTCGTGCCTCAGAACTCCAAAAAAGAGGGTGACACAATACTTCTACCGCATTCAGCCTGATGATACACAAGAAGCATGTACTTAGCAAATCAGAAAAAATAAGCAGAGGGAATGACTGCAATGTAACTATGGAAATTGTGAAAGAAAGTCTGCTTGCCTCATCTTTGGGTCAGGCTGTAACAGTTGACAAAGTAAATGTTCAGCTTCTGGTATATGATCCACCAAGAAGAGGTCCATGCGATTGTTAATAATGTTTGCATCCCTTTCAAAATGATTGCCAAATGGATGTTTTCCCTTGGTAATACAAAAGAATAGTATGCAACCCAAACTGAACAAATCCACAGCTCGTGTTTGACGCCCATGAAGAAGTTGTTCAGGTGCTTGCCAACCAGAGCTACCATATCCTATGGTAAATTAAAACATGCTTGAACTTGGTCCATTTCTAAGGATAATAAAAGAATAAGCACACTTGTCAGATACCAGAGATATAAAGTTCTCATTGTGCACTAACCAGTAGCATTACGGCTCAATGAAGACATGTCTTCAAGTAGGCGTTTGCTTATACCCATATCAGAAAGTTTGGCATTAAGATATCTGTCATTGCTTATTAGCACATTTTGAGGCTTTAGATCCCGGTGTATGATTCCAAGTTCATGTAGATGTGCAAGGCCAGAAACTACATCTCTGTAAAACAAATACAATTAAAGTTTTAAAAACAATAGATCCACAGTATCACAAAAGATCAATAGCTACCAAAATTTGCAAATTAGCATAGCCAATTTCCAAAATAAATAGACAACACAAGCAACTTGAGGGAAAGAAGCAAATGCTATTGCCTTAAAGTAGACATGTCAAAGGCTCCGATGATACACAACAACAACAACAGCAACAACAACAACAGCAACAACAACAACAAATTGGATTACTTAGATGAGGCTTTTCACTGTAATTATTGTATTAACTGTAAATTTTTTGCTAATTTGACATCCGGTGTTTTCCAGTCAATACTATGAACTTAGGTTTTTATTCTGTTTAAGAAACTGTCACTCTTGATTTTGTATAGAAACATATGTCATCCTCTGTTGTACAAAGTTTTCTTGTGCTTAAGAAACTGTGTTACTAATAAATATACATATAACTTCTTCCCAACTTCGCCATCATCTGTTGTACAGAGCTGGTTCTGATGTATTTTGAAGTTTTCTTTTGTGAAAGAAAATAATATTGCAATCAAGAAGCTACTTCTAAGAAAAAACCAAATTGCTAAATTCAATCAAATGAGACTTAAATTGTCATTGTCTTATATTCTTAAGGAAACAATGGCTGTTAAATGGGTAATTCTTCACTGTTCAGTAAACACCCAATGCCAACAAGTAAGATAAAAGATGACCTATAAGCTGTTTATAAAAAAATATTGACTCAAATATATATACAAGGAGACAAAGAAGTAACAGAGCAACACAAAATCTACAGTGAAGAGACATACAAGGGAAAGGACAAACCCGCACCTCATTATCTTTAAGAGTTGCCTTGAAGGAAGCCCATTTAATCTCCACAAATTAACATCCTTTCTGATACCTTTTGCCAAGCCTAATTGAACTTTGTCTTCAATCACAGAGTTTGAAGTTTGATTTTCCACAGATACTGAATGTGAAGAAGAATCTGAGCATATGCATATTAGGTCACTTAGGCTGCAAATACAACGCTCCAGTGAGATATACACAAAATCCAAATCTTGTTCTACTCCATACCACCGAACAATATTTGGGTGTCGATCAGATGCAATAAGATTCTGAATCTCTTTAAAGGCAACATCATGATGTGCACGAAGAAGCCGTTTTACAGCAACTGGACGACCACCATAAAATCCTTCAAAGACGACTGTACCATTGCTCCCGTGACCAATTTTAATATTTGTAACAAATAGTCTTCCAACCCAACGCCCATCACTATCACCATCAGGTATGAATGAATAACTTCCATTGACCTGAATTTGATTATGCCCATTGGTTTCAGCATTCTCTTTCATGGATAAAGTATGTCTGTCATGACTAACACTGATGGTAGCATTTTTCAAGTTTCCAGACTTCCGAGATTTCCTCTTCTTAGGAATGACAGATTGCTTTTCCTTCATATCATTATATTTTTTATCATGCTTGAACAGCTTTCTCAACCCAAAATAGCAAAACGCAAATATAGGCACAGAGAGAATAAATAGCCAACTATGACCATAAATAGATTGCATTGACAAGCCACGGCCTTGCTGAACATGAGAATGTCCGTCGATTGAATAATTATTTGAATCATCCAATGAGTTCTGTGATGTATTAGAACTCTCTTGTTCGTGATAAAGCAAGTTGATGGGACCTCTAGGTCTCTGTCTTGAGTTTACAAAACTAGAATATGCCGTAGGAAATTTTGGCCTAGCAGAAATGCAATTTCCCAGTGGACATCCATTTGGGGAAGTAGGCAAGCCTCGTGATCCACCTAAAGAAATATGTTCATCGTTTAGTCTCTCCACTATCTGGTCATGGTCCATATTGGAAGTTGTGACAATTCCTAAGGAACAGTTACCGGCTGATTCGCATTCATAAGATTGCTCATAGTCTTGTCCAGACCACATCCCAGTATTTGGTTCAGAAAATGAGGGAGGGAGCATAGCCTTGTGTTTAGGTAGTTGATCAGTCTCTCCAGGAAAGTAGACAGGAATATTTCTTCCGGACACGGATGATATTTCCATTTCATCATACATGGTATTTGTCAGTCCGGGGCCAACATTATGAGCACTGATACGAGAGATCATCACACTCCATAAATGATTATTTATATCATAACTATTCAGAAAATAATCTGTTCTTATAATGGTAATATAAGTAGCATTGCCAGACTCTAGCTTGGATGCAACTGACTGTTCTTTAGACATGGGAACCCCAACAGTTGGCAAACTAAAAGGCTCATTATCATGATAAATTAACTCCCCACTATCAGCATCGACAACATAAAAAGTTGATGTCTTTGTCCCAGTGGTGATAACTGATCCTTCAACCACAGGTGCTCTCTGGACATATTCCTCCACTGTCCGGTTATGTTTCTACAACATGAAAAAGAATAAGATAGAAGAAGCCAGTTGAAATGCACACTAATAGTAGCAATGTTATTGGTCTATACTATATAGTATATACAATGGTAAAAGGACCAGCAGCCCCCCATGCCATCTCCCAATCGTTTGCTTTTTTAATGTGTCACCATCTCCACACGAAAAGCACATGCTAGATATTATAAACATAACAAAAAACACAGAGACATTCACGAGCGTACCCTTATGCCAACATCCTTGCTATATTCATAAAGTTCCCCATTGCTATCAGAAAACACAATATAATCAGGATCATCATTTGAAGGAGATCTCCATGAATATGATAGTGGCTGACCTATCAAAAGCTTCCACTGAGGTTTTGTAGATTTATTCATGAAATAGATGGTACCATTTGGCAAAGCGAGGAAGAATCCGCCCTCCTTACTGATGCAACACAATAAGAAACAAAAACAAAAATCAAAACGCAGCAACATATATGTAAGTATCCCAAAGAGGACACACATAAATAGGTTTAAACAACCAAAAGAATTCACATAAAAAACACGATATTTCAAACATATACAAAAAGTTATTGCTTGTACCAACAATGTCACGTCATGTCATGTATGTCAGAAAAAGCTTTGGCATGTTGAATTAGTAGTTGTTAAATAACCCGATCAATTTGTTCCTAAAACAGCACAAATACATATCACACGGTCACTGTCTACCTGAAAAGAAAGACTTTTAAGCTTAAAGTTGAAAAAGCAGATTCATAGATCCACTAAACAAACATGAAAACACCTAGTCTTAGTTCCACCCACTTGAAGGTATACCTATGCATTCATCTAACAACTGATGAAACAAGTTAAAAAAGATGCAATACAGCACCATCAACTGTTTCCATCAGCTAATATAGGAAATATCAGAAAGCCAATGGTTCTTAGTGTGTGAATGCCAGTTAAAAAATGTTCCATCAAGCCACATGAGAATTTCAGGAATTACCATAATCAAGCTACTGCCACTTTGAACACATATTCACACAAGTCGACATGCTTAAAAGAACGCCTATCACAGCTAGCAAATTGTCATTGTTACAGCAGCTAGCCTCCACTAAGCTGCAAGTAATGTTGAATTTCAAAAGGAGAGAGTCAAAATTCACAACAACTATCTTCAAATTTGTGTCTTGAACTTAAAAAAGTTGGATCTTTAACAAATACAACCAATCAAAAACACACGAGGGATAGCAGAAAACCCTGATCTTGCTTGAACCAATCCAAAATCCAATTGCTTACCTTTCAGCCGAATTCAATAGCAACGCCGATTTGGGATCCGGGACAAAAGGAGGAGACTCCTCGACCGGTACCAAATCCCCCGACAATGGCCGGTCGGTCCATTTTTCTTCCACGAAGATCTCGCTAGTAGGCGGAGCAGGAAGAGAAAGCAAAGGAGTAGGAGGAGAAGGAAGAGGGGAAGCAGAAGCAGCGGCGGCAGCTGCGGTCCCCCAAGATTCGCTCTCCGCCGACGGATCAAGCACCACGGGCGTCAACACGTCGGAGACGAGCAACCCTAGCAGGAGCACGGCGAAGAAAGCGACGGAGCGCGCGGATGGGAGCATCGAATGGAGGGAAAGGAGGGGAAGTGGGGGATGGTTTAGGGGAGCGACTAAATTGGTCGGGGATGGATCAAGATAAGGCGAATCCCACTCGGTCAAAGCGGTGGAATGGGGGCAAGGAAACAAGGAGTTGCCCTTCTCGCTCCCCTTTCCTCTTCCTCCGCCGCCTCTTCCCTATCGGCTCAATGCGTAGGAAAAGAAGACAAAATGAGACGCCCATCCCCCGTTCGTCTGTGCAGAAAACGATGGGACGCACTCGTTGACGAATACAACGATTTCTTCCGTATTAACATATCGGACATTTTGAAGAATATAACGATACGTCTCTAAATCGTTACTTTTCGTTTATAACGAACTGTCATTTTAACCCGCTTTATAACGTCCCTCCAAAGTCAGCATTAAAATTTAAATTATTTCTTTTTTAATTTAAGTTTACCTTTTATTTGAAAATGATTATGTTAAAAATATTAATATTACAAATAACCTTTGCATATCTAAGGAGACAATATTCCGATAATTAAGGCCTAACGTGCCCAAGTTCAAATTTTATAAACCTCAAATACTATGTTATGCAATGATTGAATAAAAAATATTTTAAAAAAATAAAAGACAACCTTCATAATAGTTATATTGATATGGATATACATGCAGTTTTAATTTTTTTTTAGTTTTATATTTTTAAATAATTAATGAATAATGATAAAAATGATGCATGTAGATATTATGGGAATATTTATAAGAAAAAATTATTATTTTTAGAAAAGTATGTATTTTGGTAATTATCATTTTTTATATAATTTTAAATAATATTAATTAAATTAAGGATATTACTTCAATCGTTACAATGAAAAATAACGGGGTGTGATATATACCATCTTTTCGCTTTGGGTGTTACGTAGCAATGGTAGTTAATTCTTTGGGGTGAATGATTGTCTTACAAAGGGGACAAATGATATCAACGGCTTTCATCGGTCAAAAAAAGTTGGCATCAAGCATTTCAGTTTTGATCGACTCTAAATTGACACTTATATCCTCCTTTGATGTGGGGAGCGGTGTCATTCGATCTATTACAATCGATGACAAAAGATGCAGAGGGGGATGTTTTATGTGCATCTGAAATGGCTGAGTGCTTTGTCGGAGCGATGGAGGTAGGTGGGGTTTTTGAAGGAGAAGAGGGGGGGGGGTGTGTGGAGAAGGGAAGGGGTGACGGATGTGTGAAGTGGTGTCATTTAATATGTTACAGGGGGCGATAAGAGATGCAAAGGAGGATGTTCTATGCGTATTTGAAATGACTAGATGCTTTATCAGAGTGGTGGAGGTGGGGGGAGTTTTTGGAGGGTTTTTTTGGGAAGGAAAAGGGTGACGAACGCATGGAACAATGCCATTCGATATGTTTCAAGCAGCGACGAGAGATGCAAAGAAGGATGATTTACACGTATCTAAAACGGTTGGGTGCTTTATCGGAGCTCTCCGACGACTAACAAAATGGTTGGTGGAGATGGTATTTCTTCTTCTATGCAACTGGTGGAGGTTTTACGAGGAGCCAAGCCATGGAGGAATAACACGGCATCACCGTGGGAGGAAGTGTAGAGGGAGGGGGACGACGAATGTATGGAGCGGTGCTATTCGATATGTTGCGGCCGACGATAAAAGATGAAGAGGGAGATGTTCTACATGTATCTAAAATGGCTAGGTGTTTTGTTGAAGTGGTGGTTATATTTGATCTCCCTCCTAAATTAAAAATGATAAAAAAAAAATGATAGGCATTGATTTCTCTCCAATCTAATTTACTATCCAAATATATAAATGGGATTCCGATCTCAATTAAGAGATGCTTGAAATAAATATGAGAATAAAAAAATATTATTTATTTAAAATATTATTTTATTATACCTATAAATGAATTATAATAAAAATTATTAATAATAAAAAATTATTATTATTATTACCTACTACTATATTTGACTACTATGTTCAAAGATTAAGTAAGTTAACTCATAAATAAATTATATTACACTTGATTCTGCATTAGAGTGCAATGCATTTCATTTATGATTATAATATTATAAAGTTTATCCAACTCAATTCTGAAAATAAGATATAAATAGTTTCTTAATTATATTTTTATTTTTTATTGATTTTAGCAGTTTTTATAGTCCAATTAACCCAATTTTTTCTTGATTATACAAATCCAAGTGTAATGCAGTTTATTTACAAGGAAGTTTGTCCAACTTACCTCAAACTTTCATGGTCAAAGAAAAGGATAGCATAAATAGTTACTTTATTTATTTTTCTATTTTTTTGATTATTTTAGAGATAATTGAAATCTAATCTGGTATTTGGTTCAAAAACCTTTTGTGCATTTAACCAGATTGAGGTTTTTTCATGTGAGTTCTGAAAAATAAGAAGCTTCAGGTAAAAGCCCATAAATTGGGTATTTTCTTAGTAAATTATCCAAAGAATTTGATAAGATTTCATTAAAATTTTATTTTTGACTCTCTCTCTCTCTCTCTCCTCTTCCTTTGTTGGTCATTTGTTGCTGTTCCAGGAGGTACAGAAGTCTGTACCACCAAAGAGCAATAACTTACAGTGTGTACTCTCTGTAGATTTAAGGTTTAAGATAAAGAAGATCTGATTTATCAAGTTAGTTGTTTTGCATATGATCATGGCAAGGAAATAAGTAAAAAAAAAAATTAGGACAAAGAAAAGATTAGTCAATTAGAACTAATGAAGTTTCATGAAACCTTTATTGCTGCCACTTTCAGATGAAGAGTCTCTGAACCCTTCAAAATCTAATAAGCATAGAGTTGATTAGCTCCCTATAAATTGCACTGTGTTAACATTCTTACACAAACAAAAGCATCATTGTTGACAAGGCTCTGTAATGAAGTATTAGCAAATCCTGTCTAAAGTAGCAATAAGTTTAGGTTAATGTTAGAAGATCAAAGCCCAACACTTATGATTAATGAGGGTTCTCATAACTTAATGCATTACTGAGGACTTCTCAAAACATTGCTCATGAAAAAGATGGTCTAAACTAAGTTAGGAGAATTCCTTGAGCCTTGAGATACAATTGAAAGCATATTGGCATCCATTTTTGTTGATGCTTTGTGTGGGAGGCTTTAGTTTCTAAGAAAATGCCAAACAGATCATCAGTGTGTTGCTATATCATGAGATCTGAACATCTATTCACTCAATGTAACATCAAATGAAAATAACAAAGGCAATGGACAACAGGAAATATGCAAAGAAGAAAAATATTTACAGTTCATATAGCTACAAACTCAATAGCATATGGTCTTCCATGTTCCATGTTCTTCAACAAGGTTTCATGGAAAAGTTGGTGCCATCCTCCTACTTATCAGCCATTTCCCACTCCTCCAGCATGAAAAGGTTCCTCCTGAGTAAGCCAACGGATCAGTGACTTTCTTGAGATTTTTCTCCCTTTTTTGGCATGCCAATTCTTGTTCAGCTTCAACTTTTCGTTTACAGATCATACTGCAAGCATCGTTGAGATTAAAGTACATCAGTATTCGAACAAGAAATCGAAACAGATAATGCATGTAAGCAGAGTGAGCTTGCCTGTTAACTAGGCCACAGTAACTCCAGTTGATGTGGTCAGAACACCAGCATTTACATCATGTATTTGATCTGCCATATGTTCGAGTTTTAGTCCAAATCCATGCTTTAAGTGTTGCCTAAACGATGAGCTATTGCTCGATTCATACTCACTTGCTGGTGATTTGGACACGAAGAAGCATGCACCAATTGCCAGGTAACAAAGGAGGGGCACAAGTCCTTTCAAGTAGTGTGAAGTGCCATCCTGAGGAATGCAATGAACTCAGACTCATTATGATCTCAGAGTGTAAGTAATCCACAGAAGTATACCTGTAATGTGAAGGCTGTTATCAGTATTGCCATGATGAGTGAGCCAGTTTCCAGCAGTTCAAGATCAAGATCCATCTTGATTCCCATTATCCAGGCTACAATCACACTTAATGGAACCTAAACCAGGCCAAAGGTCTTGTCAGGGATCATTTATATTCCATGTAAGGGAAGGAGGAACTTGCACTGTGAAATCTTACCACAAACATGGAGATCTGGGTTGCTGATCCAAGTGAAACACCAAGAGTGATATCCTGCAACATTTCAGGGTTATACACATGATCTCCATGGGTAGAAGAGTGCGGAGGTATGTTGAGGTTGAGTTGCATGTACCAGCTTGTTCTTGAAGGCAAAAATGATGGCACCTGCATGCTCTGCTGCGTTGCCAACTATTGGGAGCAAGATAATGCTGATGAAACTCACAGAGATTCCCCAGGAATCCGAAGCAGCCTGAAGATATGAGACACGGCATGATCAGTTTGATTCGTGAGTAGGTCACTTTAGATGTTCTAAGGATGGATATGGGATCGAAAAGTACCTCAATGGTTGCAACAACGTACTCAGACAGTATGGCAATCACAGCCGTCATGCCCAGCAGCCAAGCCAATGCGCTCGGGAATCCGATGACTGCCTCGTCTTGAGCTACCGCATCGTCGTTGTCATCGTCTTGCTCCTGTTCATCCGAAGAGAACACCATCTCTAACCCATTCGGCTCGGTTGAAACGGAGTGAGTGTCGTTGGGTGTATGAACTCTCACCTCTTCCGACTCGTAGAGTTGGCGGTGGGTCTTCAGCTGGAAGAAAAGGTAAGCGACGTAGGCGAGGAGCATGACGATGCTGCACGCCCTCGACAGCCACAATCTCGGAGCCGCATCCGCTGCTTGCTCGCCGGAGCTGACTGCGTGATCGAACGCCAACAACAAGATGTGGCAAAGCGCACCCAGCAGCAGAAGACCGGTGTTCACATCAGCTTGCTTCTGCGAGATGCAGCAGAAGGCGGAGCACATGGTGAGAAGGACGCAGGAGATGGCAGCAACGTGGTATGGCCTCCACTTCGGTACTTACTCGATCGAAGGACTGTTCCTTGTGCAGGTTGGCGATGCCTCCAAGGAAGAGGGAGGATCCAAGAACAAGCAGTAGGTTGGATAGGATAGATCCAACCAAGGAGCACTTCACCACCTCGATCTTCCCACGGTGCAACGCAAATAGAGCTATGATCAGCTCCGTGGCGTTGCCACAGGTTGCGTTCAGCAGCCCACCAACTGCAGCACAACAGGAATTGATGGCACATTGCTTGAATTGCTTCGAGTCGAAGGAGATTTCATGTGCGCATACGTACCAGTAGGACCGGTGTAATATGCGATTTGCCTGTGATTCCAAAGCCCGATCGAGAAAGAAACAGAGAAAAAGGATCAAATTAATGTTGCATTTATACTGATGCAAGACACAGAAATGAGAAGAAGATGACGATGAAGGGAGATGAACTTACTCTGTGAGGAAGCTGACACGCTCGGCAAGAGGGGTGAGGCCAAGCAGACTCAAAGCAAACAACCAGGCCTGTTTCCAAAGGTGAAATGAGCTGTCGTTAATGTACGGTAGACATTTCATGCAATGATACTTCTCATGAAAGCTAGATAACCAGCCATTGATGACGATGATGATGGCATAAGCTGAGGAAGAGGGCAATTACGCGTCCAAAATGGAGGTAGTTGGCGGCGATGGCGAGGGGGACGGCGGGGAAGAGGATGAAGAGCTTGGTGCCGAGGAAGATCTCCTGCAGGTTGGTGAGGATGGTCCTGAGGAGGCCGCAGCGGACCTTCGACAACAACGATAGGTCCGACTTCTTGCGCAGCGACGACGAGGACATGTTGTGCGCGGTGCGGCCGTGGCCGTGGCCGTGCGCGGTGCGGCTGCCGGAGCCGCCTTTGGGGTTGCCTGCCTCGAGGCGCCTCGCTGCCTCGTACCCCGTCGATGCCATGGCTGCTACGTTGTCCGCAGTGCAACTTCTGCAAGCGTTATCACTCCGTGTCTGATACAGCAAACTCTCAGCCTCTATAAAACAAAAAACAAGTAAAAATACACGAAAATATAGCTCATAATTGGGTGCGATCAGGTTCCAGGAAGCTTCGTGGGCTATCATTGCAGATATTTATCGTGAGACAATGAATTGTAATCAGACAAAAAACAAGAATTCTGTGGCAATGGCTCGCCCGAAGTGATGCGTTTCTTCTGTTTGTGTTAATGCCAGAAAGAGAGGCTTCTAACAGTGTGTGTGTGTTTGATTGCTAAAACTGAGAGTAATTAAGAACTATAAAACATATGATGTTAAATAATAAGAACAATTTCAGATAGTTTCTTTTACTGCAAAATACTGAGAAAACACAATTTTTGGAGCTGACTTGTTATGATAGGTTTCAAGAATTAGTATTTGGTAAAGGAAATATTTTAATCTAATAGTCATGACTTGAGAAAAAATGGCATTCATTCAAAACACATGACACACTGAAAGACCAAATAAAAGCATTGATTTCACACTCAAAGTCAAAGTTGTACAAAAATCTAAGTTTATAATTGTTGTACATTAGCGAGTCAAATACGTCAACATCGACATGTACTATATTGTGACCCAAATCTAATATATATTATCCGACTCGTTTAATTCTTACGATGTTCAGCTATCTCGTTCGAGCATGATTACATCCAATCTGATCCACTAAATTCACATGCAAAATTGTACATGTTTTTGGCCATTAAACCATCTATAAGCTGAGAAGGATGATTAGGACTCTCTTCTACCATGTAGCGGCAGAGTGAAGCTTCTGTGAACCTTCCTCCACAACCATACAAAAAGCAGTTCTGCTGATGAAGAAAGACTGAAAATGAACTGTGAGATTGACACGCATCTCTCTCTCTCTCTCTCTCTCTCTCTCTCTCTCTTCTTCGTTCGTTCGTTCGTTCGTTCGTTCGTTACGTT